TTTTTTTTGCTGAGGAAGATTCGCCCTGAGCTAACATCTGTGCCACTCTTTCTCTGTCTTCCTCTGTTTTGCATATGGGTCGCCACCACAGCGTGGCTGCCAATGAGTGATGTAGGTCTGCAGCCGGGAACTGAACCCAGGCTGCTGAAGTGGAACGCACCAAACTCAACCACCAGGCTACAGGGCCAGCCCAAAAATGTACACTTTTAAAGTGTAAGTTCAGGGCCGGCCCCGTGGCTTAGCGGTTAAGTGCGCGCGCTCCACTGCTGGCAGCCCGGGTTCAGATCCCGGGTGCGCACCGACGCACCGCTTCTCCCGCCATGCTGAGGCCGCTTCCCACATACAACAACTAGAGGGATGTGCAACTATGACATACAACTATCTACTGGGGCTTTGGGGAGAAAAAGGGAAAAAAAAAGGAGGAGGATTGGCAATAGATGTTGCCGGCAGAGCCGGTCTTCCTCAGCAAAAAGAGGAGGATTAGCATGGATGTTAGCTCAGGGCTGATCTTCCTCACAAAAAAATAAATAAATAAATCCTTTAAAAATAAAGTGTACAATTCAGTGGTTTTTAGTATTCACAAGATTGTGCAACTATCAACACTATCTAATTCCAGAACATTTTCACCACCCCCAAAACTGCCATACTCACTGGCAGTTACTCCTCCCACCAGACCCTGACAGCCACTAATCTGCTTTCTCTCTCTATGGATTTGCCTGTTCTGGACATTTCCAGATAAATGGAATCATACAATATGTGGTCTTCTTTGTCTGCCTTCTTCCACTTAAGTGTGTGTTTTCAAGGTTCATCCATGTTGTAGTATGTTTTAGTATTTCAAAGATTCTTTTTTATGGCTGAATAATACTCAGTTGTATGGTTATACCACATTTTGTTTATCCATCAGTTGGTGGACATCTGAGTTGTTTCCGCTTTTTGACTCTTATGAATAATGCTGCTATGAACAATTGTGTATATACCCAGAAGTGAAATTGCAGGGTCATATGGTAACCCTATGTTTAACTTTTTGAGGAACTTCCAGGCTATTTTCCAAAGTGGCTGCACCATTTAACAGTCCCACCAGCCGTTTATGAGGGTTCCAGTTTCTTTACATCCTCATCAACACTTGTTATTGTCTGTCTTTTTGATTACAGCCATCCCAGTAGGTGTGAAATGATATCTTATTGTCTTTTTTATTTGAATTTCTCTAATGACTAAGGATGTTGAGTATCTTTTCATGTTCTTATTGGCCATTTGTATAGCTTTTTTGGAGAAATATCTATTCAAATCCTTTGCCCATTTTTATTTTACTTTATTTTTTTCTTTTTTCTCCCCAAAGCCCCCAGTACATAGTTGTATATCCTAGTTGTGAGTCCATCTAGGGGACACTGCCTCAGCATGGCTTGATGAGCAGTGAGTAGGTCCGCACCCAGGATCCAAGCCGGTGAACCCTGGGCCACCGAAGCAGAATGCATGAACTTAACCTCTGCACCACCAGGCCAGCCCCCTTTTTTTTTTTTCTTTCCGTTGCCCATTTTTAAATTGGGTTCTCTTTTTACTGTTGAGTTGTAAGAGTTCTCTACATGTTCTGGATATCAGATCCATATTAGGTAGATGATTTGCAAATATTTGCTCCCATTGTCTAGACTGTCTCTTC